TATATATATATATATATATATATAGAGAGAGAGAGAGAGAGAGAGAGAGAGAGAGAGAGAGTTTGTTTCAAATACAACCTGTTGCATTTGTACAACCAATGTAACCCAATAAATTGAGATATTTATGGAAATGATGAGAGTTCATTTATTATAATTTGAATATTTATGGAAGATGAATATGGTTCATTAATTATGATCAATACTTTATATTAGGAAACAATCAAAACTTCTATGAAATCACATATTAATCAAATGATATATATAGAGTTTGTTTCAAATACAATCTGTTGCATTTGTACAACCAATGTAACCCAATAAATTAAGATATTTATGGAAATGATGAGAGTTCATTTATTATAATTTGAATATTTATGAAAGATGAATATGGTTCATTAATTATGATCAATACTTTATATTAGGAAACAATCAAAACTTCTATGAAATCACATATTAATCAAATGAAATGGACGATTGAGATTGGGTTGTATTGGTTGCACAAATATCATGGGTTGTATAATAACCAACCCCTCTCTCTCTCTCTCTATATATATATATATACACATAATCTGCAACTTTAAAAAAATGATATATGCAGGAGCTGACATTGTAATATTTTAGTAATATAAAATATTGAATTGTCGCTTTGTTTTTGTCATCCTACATCGATGGGGAGATGATAGGTTGGAGAATAGATTTGAGTATATAAAAAAATTAAACATGTTATTTAAATGTGAAAAAAATGCATTTGCTAAATTTTTTTGGCACACTATTATTTAAAGTAAATTATATATATATATATATATATATATATATATTAGCTGGTGTATTTGATAAGTAAGAGTGTTCTTTGACTAAATACGTTTTTAAGCTGATTTTTCTTCCACAAAAAAGATTTATCAGTATAAAAACTAACCAGAAAAATAAATTTATGAGGTACCATCGTGAAAAATATTATTTGAGTTCTGAATAACCTAAAAACAAAACTTTTAATGGTGCATCTTTATCTTAAACTCTTCATAACAGAAGCCTGTTAATATTATAAATATATACAAATTAACTACCAAAGACATACGTTTCATTTTAACTTGGCTTAATATTTTTTTAAAAATTGATATTTGATTTGTGTATTTTGTAATACTGAATTATAGTTTGGTTTTGGTCATCTCACATTAGTGCTGAGATGATAAATTGGAGAATATATTTGAATATACTTGAAGGGTACTTATACAATGCACCGAAATACATCTTGATTTTAATGTTTCGTTTTATATTTTTGGTCTATCAATGTTATAATGCGATTTTATGTAGTTTTGAGAAAAAAATGTTTTTATTTTCTGATGAAATATATATTTGAAGATATTATAAAAAAATTTAAAAAAAAAAATAAGCGATATTAGTGTCAAATTAACCATTTAAAAGTTATTGTTTTTGTGTATTTTTCTTTAATTCAATTTTTTATTATAATTTAATTGAAGTTTAAAAACGAAATATTTTATTTTTGGTTTAATAAAACAAAATTTTAAGATAATAATTAAGTATTTTGTTAGAATTCAATGATTATCTTAATTATATTTTATATTTTTTATATTTAAAATGATGTTTATCATGTATTTGATTATATTTGTCTGCAGTTAGTTACATGAATTCAAACATAAATAAGAGAGAACTCATGCACATTCTACTTGTAATCTTGATTTTTAAGTAATATGCATAAAAAATATTTTTAAGAGTTTTTGTCAAATGCTTTATAATATAGTATAGATATAAAGGATGGGGGCGTCTTTGAAATGTATAAAAGCTAAAAGAACAACAAAAACGATGAGCTGACTTCATATCAAGTAAAATATCAGTTTTTATTAGTTTAATATCTGATATGTTAAAAAATCATACCACTTAACTTACTTCAATTATTTTTCTAAAAATATTATAACCACCATACAACACGCACAATGTAAAACACTGGTTATTTATAAAGTTGATATCACCAAAAAAATGTGTTGTAAGGATGCAAGAGAAGTCCCTTGTTATCTCATTAACTTATGGGTCGTTTACTAAACGCTTACCCAGGTAAGGGCTTAACAAGTCACATTACCTTACAGGATGAATATGGTAAATACCAAAAATCTTACCCGGTAAGAGTGATGCAAGAACTAAGAGTCTTACCCGGTAAGTAAGAACGACAACTTTTATCACCGTTAGTGCTTACCGGGTAAATTGTTGCATACCATGCCATTTTTGTTGATTAAAATTTTACCCGATAAGTAAATGATAGTGTTAAAAAATACTGGTAAGTGCTTACTGGGTAAGTGTTTGGTAAACGGCCCCTTAGCCCATAAATAATATTTGATTAATGATTAAAATATATTATAATAATTTTTAAACAATTCCTATATAATAATTAATTTCTACTATAATATAATATTTAATAATGCTAAAAGATAGAATAATAATATTTACACTTTAATATAGAATTACAAAAATATATAATATAAATATAATGGGATCAGGATCAAATCTTAGCATTAGGATCATGTGAGACAAAAATGTTCTCATGAAATACGTGAGACATGATTTTTACAATTTGAAACTTCATAACAAAACACTATAAAGGTAACTTTCACAGTGTTTTTCCTATGAAGATTCGGTCTTTTTCACCTTTAAATGTAAAAATCATGTCTTACGAAAACAAAATTATCTCACGTGAACCCAACCCCGAACCTTAAGTTAAACTTTTTACGAGAATGTTAATTATATATGCTTATATATATATATATATATATATATATATATATATATGGTTGGGTTCACGTGAGACCAGAGGTTTTTCGTGAGAACCGTTAGATCAAGTTATATTCATTAATCAACTTTATAAGTTAATGATCTAATGGTTTAAATTGTACGGTGGCAATTTTGTGATTATTTAGAAGTCTCGTGACATTTATGAATGTTCAGATTGTAGATCTAATC